CATAAATGGGGGGTTGGTATGCAATGATTGAAACAAAAGAATAAAGCAATAAGTAAATGATCAATTAAATGAAACAAATTCAGGATTTGTGAGAACTCCAACTCTATGCAAGACAAATTAGCAATGTGATTCCAAGGATGAAATGATATTTGTTCAATTCTATCTAAATTGGTACATGGAAATGCTAACAAGATCTAGCACCTCCCATTCACCACATTGATTAACCAAAATAAGCTCTTTGATTAATCCTAACCTTACTAACCTAATCTAAACAAGCTCTTAGAATTAGATTGAAATGTTGCTTTAAACTTTATGTGAATGTTCCCAACAACACTCAATACTCCTCACAAGCTCGGGAGTGTAAAAGTGTGTGAAAAGATTTACACTAAATTCATTCAATAGAAATCAAATTAGTGCTTGTTACCTAGTCCAATTTACAAAACAATTACGGATTTTGCAATTAGATAACTTGAATGATCTAACCCTAATTCAAATGGCCAGTAAGAATCACAATTAGAATCAAACATTCGATTGAAACAAAATCAAATTCACTAGATAGAAAATTGAAAGAAAACATCAAGTCATATGATTGAAATCACAACTAGAAGTCAAGACATAAAGTTGGAGAATCTAGGGTTCTAGCCACTCATGACTAGAACAAGATCACAAATCTAGAAAATAAAATTAAAGTTCTTACAAAATGAAATCAAATGTTCCCAAGTATTAATCAACTTCAAAATCCTCAAGAAAATCGCTTTCTCTGCTCCAAAAGTCGACCTCTCCAAAGTAAAAAGTCGGTTCCCCCCTTTAAAAATGGTGAAAAACTGCTTTAAAACCCGCATTTACGTTTACACGACCCGTGTAAATTAAAGGGTGCAATTTACACAACCGTGTAAACAAGAAAAGTAGAATGCTCCTGTATATGCGTTTACACGGCCCGTGTAAATTATAGGCTTCCATTTACACAGCCGTGTAAACTCCTGTAAAACCAAAATCTTCATTTTCTTCATAAATTCCTCCTCGATGCTCCAATAGCCCTGAAATTTTACCCTCAACTCTTTTTAACCTCCTAAAGCAAGATCCAACCTCCAAAAGTCCCTGAAATATTACAAAAGTGTGTGAATGGAATTGCATCATGAAAAATCCCGAAAATATGCAAAATGCATGAGTTTAAACCTAAATGCAATGTACTTTTATGAAATAAAGCTACAAAATGGGTACATGAAATGCACCTAACATAGTCACTTTCTCTTTGCTCCTGGGGTGTATATATATATATATATATATATATATATATATATATATATATATATATATATATATATATATATATATATGCTTTTTGAATACTCTATCCATTTCTGATTATTTGTTCGTTTGTTCCCGTGTTGGGATACTTTTTGAATCATCAACTTTATGAATACTCTACTTGATTTTTGTTTCCCGTAGAGTAAACCTTAAACACTAAATTATGTTTCAGCTGCATCATGTCTATTGATAAATAGATCGTCAATCTCCCGAGTTCCAGCTAGACTCGACTCTTTTGTCAATAGACCCATGTTACACCAAGATTGTAAAGGTGAAACCAGATGTCCGTGTGAGAAATGTGATAATCGTTACTTCATGGATCCGAAAGCAATGAGACGTCATGTTCGTATATATGGTTTCAGTCAATCATACAAAACGTGAATATATCACGGTGAACCTTTAATCCCTCCAGTTGTAGATGTCGTATCGCCAAGCAACTAGATGGCTAATGTTATTGACGATGTTATGTGGGAGTGGAGAGAAAATGATACAAACCTCGATGAAGGAACCTCGAATACAGGGGGTAGCGGTGTGGATGATGATTTTGAACAGTTGATAGAGGCAGTCGAAACCAAGTTATATCCTGGTTGCAAGTTTTCTTTCCTTGACTTTTTAGAAAAACTGATGCATATCAAGGTCAACAACAAATGGACTGATAGTTCATTTGATCAACTCTTTGAGTTGTTGCATTCGACATTTCCACCAGACAACAAGGTTCCCCGTTTATATTATTTAGCAAAAAAGAAACTGAAGAAGTTAGGTTTGGGGTACGAGTCAATACATGTCTGCAAAAACGATTGTTTTCTCTTCTGGAAGGAACACAAGTCATTGCAAGTTTGTCCAGTTTGTAAAGAGAGTCAGTGGATTAATATAAACACCAAGGGTAAGAAAGTGGCTCATAAGGTGTTACGGTACTTTCCAGTGACCCCTAGACTACGCCGTTTTTATTTTTCACGGTACACTTCCAAAAATATGATATGACATAGTACGGGGAGATCAGAAGATGGTGTGATGCGTCATCCCGTTGAGGGAGAGTCTTGGAAAATTTTTTATGTAGATTACCCTGACTTCTCGAGTGAACCTTGCAACGTACGCCTAGGGCTGGAAGCTGATGGCTTTAATCGATTTGGTAACATGTGTAATCTGCATAGTACGTGGCCCGTTGTACTCACCACATACAATCTGCCACCGTGGCTTTGTATGAAAGAGTCATCATTCATGTTGGCCTTGTTGATTCTCGGCCCTAAAGCGCCTGGAAAGGACATAGATGTTTTCCTTAGGCCGTTAGTGGAAGAGATTAAGTTTTTGTGGCAATCAGGCATACGTATTAAAGACGCAACGACAAACATATTCTTCATGATGAAAGCTATGTTGTTATGGACAATAAACGACTTTCCATCTCGTAGTAGTTTATCGGGCTGGAGCGGACAAGGGTATAGAGCATGCCCGACTTGCAATGAAGACACTCCCTCGTACTGTGCAATAAATAAAGTCGTTTATATCGGTCATCGTCAGTTCTTAGATGATGATGATTCATTAAGGATGAGTTTGAAATTTAACGGGCAACCCGAGACAAGACCCGCTCCAAGACACTTTACTAATGAAGACATACAAGAGCAACTAGGTCGTCTACTACTTCGTAAACCGGGTAAACATCCTAACACTCTCAAGGAAAAAATGGACCGGCAAGGATTCGAGTTGAACCGGTCGAAACGTAGCATATTTTTCGAGCTCAAGTATTGGTCTTCTCTGCAGCTGAAGCACAACATAAATGTGATGCATGTCGAGAAAAGTGTGGGTGAGAGTCTTCTGGGTACTTCTATGATGAATGATAAGAGTAAAGACACATCAAATGCACGTGAGGACTTGAGAAATCTGAATATCCGGTGTAATCAATGGTTGCAAAAAAAAAGGGTAACAAGTTCACTAGACCACATACAAGGTACTCATTCAAGAAACCTGACCGCAAAATCTTTTGTCAATTTATAAGATATGTTAAATTGCCTGATGGGTTTGGATCTAACATCAGTAAGAAAGTGGCAGATAATGATACTAACATTATTCGGTTGAAATCTCATGACTATCACATTCTTATGCAACGTTTGCTACCGATTGGAGTTAGAGCGTTATTGGACAAAGAAACTTCTACACCAATTGTAGATCTTTGAACGTTTTTCAAGCAAATTTTCTCAAGAACACTAAATATGGAGGATATGAGGAAAGCAAAAGAAGACATTATTAGAATCTTGTACAAGTTAGAGTTGATTTATCCTCCAGTATTTTTCGACATTATGATTCATTTAGTTTTGCATTTACCTGATGAGGCGATTGCCGGAGGCCCAGTATGTATGAGATGGATGTATCCGTTCGAAAGGTATATGAAAAAGCTAAAAAACTATGTCAGAAATAAGGCGAGGCCGGAAGGTTGTATAGCTAAAGGTTATGTTGCTGATGAAGCTTTGTCATTTTGTTCGCTGTACCTTCGAGATGTCAATCGCCTTGAAAGAAACGAAGACGTTGTCATTGAAAAAACCAAGTTTTGGATGTTTGAGTGCAAGTGTCGACTGACGAGCGCAACACAAATCAAACATCTTGATATAAAGGAGAAACGTAATATAGAATGGTTTATATTGAATAGCTGTCAAGAAGTCAGACAATACATCGAGTAAGTGTTCTTATTTTTAATTATCTTTCATTATTTATTGTTACTTTTTTCCATTCATCAATTATATATATATATATATATATATATATATATATATATATATATATATATATATATATATATATGTTCATCAATATAGAAAATTCAAATTTGAACATCCTGAAAGTGACGAAAAGACCGAATTTCCCAACTGGTTTCTTGAAAAAGGTAATAGTAATTAACAAACAAATATCTTTGATATATATAACGAATCAAGAATACATAACACATCAACATATGTTTAATAGGTTTATCAGATGGAAAAAGAGAACTCTCCAGAATTCCACAAAGAGTTGTCAGCCCTTTCGATGGGTTCACAAATGGATGTTTATACTTACATCGCGTGCATAGTCAATGGTGTTAGGTTTATGCACTACTAGAAAAACAGCCTTTTACGACGCGCAATTTATGACACGCATTCATTTACGATACGCAAAAGTGTGTGACCTAAACATAATGTCATCTCTCTATAAATTTTAAGGATTTAGGACGCGTATTTTTACGTGCCCTTAAATTAGTGTCTAAAATTAAAAACCCCGCCTTCCTTTTTTCTCCTTTCCCTCTTGCCCTAATTATCGACGCTCTTCCTTTCCCCTCCCAACATTGACTGCCGCCTGCTTCTTCCCTCAGACTTCAACCATCGTTGCTTGCCATTCCCGGTCGTCGACGTCTGTCAAGGCAACATGTCTCGGATACTACATTTTCGAATCCAACATGTCTCAGATTCTTCTCATATGTCTACCTTCAAATATCTCTTTTAACTTTCCCAATAATCTAAAATACTTATCTCTTTCTTTGAATCGACGTTTGTTTCCCTGATCTTTTACGCTGTTCTTTTGGATTTGATTGTTTTGTTTTCTAATTCCTCCATCTCTATCAGATAATTCACAATTTAATCCGACCAGTTTTAACGGCTACTTGCAGAACTTCCGATTTTAGGGTTGTTTCTGTCAAATTGATTACGATTTGATCTGAATTTGTTATTGTTATGACGTATGAGGAAGCAGATGTAGTCACCCTTTTGAAGATCGTGATTGAAGATCGCAAGGATGATTACGTAATTTTGAAGGAACCGGAGGGGTTGGGCGGTGGTAATGGCCGCGGCGGCGGCGGTTGTTGTTCACTGCCTTCTTCTTCCTCGTCGTCGAGGAGTTGTAGTAGTGTTGGTGGCGGCTTTTGGTGCTCTCTTTGGTGGTGGTCGAAGCTTGTTCTTGTGTTTATCTTCTTGGCTGTTATGGGGGTTTGTTTCTTTCTATGGATCGGACCTTTTTTAATGAATAAGGTATGTCGATCTGCATTTATCCGAATTTCATTATTTTATCTGCAAATTCCTCTTTTTTTTCTTACCGTTGATGCACAAATCACTCATTAACCCTAATTTCCCCAATTTCCTCAAAGTAACCCTAACTCACCTCTCCAGAAAGAACCCTAATTCCCAATCTTAATGATATTCTCGACTGTTTCCTTGATTTATATGCATAATTCAGGAACGATCCAAGTGGATTTCTGAAATTATTCCAACTTCTATAACTTCAATCCCTCTGTTTCTCCCATATTTTAGGAGTTTATCCCTATTTTGAATTGGGAAACCGGAACTTTCAACAAACCAGTGTTAGCAGTATTCATCTTCACTTCTGTAGCAATCTTCCCAACCATATTACTACCATCTACACCTTCAATGTGGGTAGCTGGAATGAGTTTTGGTTATGGTTTTGGGTTTCTTTTAATCATCAGTGGAGTCATCATCAGCTAATAGTAGGAATCATTAAACTCAAAACTCAACAGAACAAAAATTGAAAATCCATGGTTTTTGTTTAGCGTTCATATCATTATCTCTATTTACATTCTCTCTATTTACTCTTGGTTATGAATTTCTCATGTTTGAATTTTCGTTTGAGCAGAAAATCAAAAGACATGGCTGGTGGAAACAAAGAACTTGTTAAATGTATGACACGAGGCTTGGCGATGCATTATATATCAATTTCAATCTTACACATACTAACAATCATGGTGATGGTATGTTATTAGTCTTACTATCATCAAGCAATAAGTAGCTTATGCTTCTTAATGATAACATTATCTGATATCTTTGGAGACATGGAATCTATTTCACTGCATAAAACTAGCTCTCTCTCTCTCTCTCTCTCTCTCTCTCTCTCTCTCTCTCTCTCCAATCATACAGTTTGTCCAATTTCAATTTTTTTATGATTATGCCCGAAACCTATCAAATGTGTACTTAGAAATATCCTCGTGAATTCTATTTGATTCCACAAAATCACTATTGAGTTCAAAACGATTTTGCTTCAGGTATGAACTACATATTAATTGTTTAATGTTGTTTAACTGATAATTGCCTTAGATGAAATGCCTAATATATTAGATAATTGAACTTTTTCTTTTGCCTAATAAGTGTTCGACTATGAATGTCCAAGTTTACTTTTGTAAATTGTAATAACTGTTTTATTAGTTCAATTTGCTCATTATTAAAAATGAATCATGTGTGTGTATGTATTGTAGGTAGATCTGATTAGGATGATGGAAGATGGTAATGGGAAGATTCACATCGGCATTCGAGTGGCAGTAGACATCATAAACCTTCACCATCACTAATGTTACTTAGTGCTTCACCTGTGAATTAAAAAAAAAGGATATTTATAGATATACCTGCGAGAGATTAGCAACTGCCAGACGTATGGAATGAAGAACTCTTCTGGGTGGCTTTCTTGTTGATATGTGAAGCGTAATTGGGTGAACATCTGAATTTACAACATAACATTGTTAATAATATAAACATTTAAAAAAAGATGTAGGATTTTTATATATTATATGATTAAAGTAACATCTTGAATCGTATTTTTGGTGCATACAGAAAAAATATTCTCCAGCAACTCATTGAAGCGTAGATGATTCCGGAAAGGTTGAAAAACCTCCTGCCTGTGCATAATTGCATATATCATGCACCAAATTTATTACAAAGTCAAGGACAAGAAGAATCTCAAAGGGCATTTACGTCTTTTTGGGCAATATTGTTTGTACCTCTGGGTTCCTTGGAAGTGCGTAAGTCAGAATTGCATTCAGTATCTCCAACACAATCCTCAAGAAGTCCGTATAGATATACAACGTGTTGATGCTGGCAAGTATATAACTTGCAAAGCCTTTTTGGAAGATTTTGATCTCATTTTAGCAAACACAAAGGTAACAATTACATTACATACATAATGAGGGTATTTTTGTCATCTGATGGAAAAAGAATGGAGTTGAATTCCTTCCACCCTCCAATATGAATGGAATTATTTTAATGGTATTGGTGCTCAAATAGCAAACCATAAACTGTTAAAACTTTCAGAACATATTCTTTTTTCTTTATTCTGCTCAATGATTGATTGTACTTTTTACTTTTTACTTTTACCCAATAAATAATCTCTGTATCTATTTTTTTAAAAAAACTTTTCTTTTGTTTTTGCAGATATATAATAGGGACGATTACAATGGAGCTAGGATTTTCAGTAGAGCTTATGAACTTCGAGATTCAGTATGCGATTTTCTTTTACCTACAAAGCTTTCTAAGACTACTCTTGATGACAATGGCAATTATGTCCTCTGCACATACAAAAGATCAAAGTTTTGGTGTGATTGAAGTGTTTTTGGGGTTACAGGTGCATGGGATGCTATCACTGATGGACCCCGCACTGGTGAGTTATTGTGAAAAAATAGCTGAAAATGGGGGCCCACTCACTCTGCCTGAAGAAATTGGTGGATCTGTTCCTGTTTCTCAGATGGCAACAACAACCATAACAATGGCAAGTGCTCATCTAAGGAATGTCCAGCCAGAAGTCAATGTGGATCAGAGGTGTGAAGTCCCACATCCGATGGATAGAACTACATATTAATTGTGAAACAGTTGGCATTTACTTACACATCCGATGGATAGAACTTAATGGCAAGACTTCCATTAGTAACATTTGCAATCAGGTTTCCCCAACCTTATCACCATGTAGAAAAATGAATAAGTCCCACTTATGGTAAGAAAAGATTCAACTTTGGTGGACTTGAAAAGAAAAAAGGAAAAAAAGTGAATAAGAAATAGAAACAACTTGTATAACATACTGTACAGGTGATAAAAGATCCAGAAACTGACGTTTATGCCCCTGTTGGAGTATTCTATTGCCACAGTTTTAGTAAACTTGATTACTCCAGCTTTTGCAGCACTGTAGTTGGCTTGCCCAACATTACTAGTCAGACCATAGAACATGAATTTGTGTGTTTTATAAAAAAAAAAATTTTTTTTTCCAGGTTTCCTAATATATTTCACAGAAATATATCTCTTGATTTAACGAACTCCATATGAGTATCATAGGCGGAGGCACATTTGTCCCTGTACTAATCCTTTAGTTTTAGATACTGATTTAGTGGATTTTATATTTATACTTTGTGAGTTTTATAAAAAAAAATTTATCATTCTTTTCTTTTAGGTTCTCAAAAGTGGAGATCCTTGTGCAGAAGATATTGTGGTGTCAAACATGCGTGTAGCTTTTGATCGTATGTTTTTGGATGTTTTTGGATGATGATTCGTGAGCCTCATCTCTGAACATGCTGGAGCCATTTTAATTTTCACCATATCATGAAGCTATTCGGGTGCCCTTTGACTACTATACATTTGGTCAAAGCTATATTCGTCCTTTGATCAATTTCAGGTTACTCAATTTTTGTTTATTGGTATTTCATTCAGCTATATTTATTATTGACATTCTGAAGCCTAATGATATCTATCAGGGAATCATATGTTGGAAATGTCTCCCTTTTTGCTAAAATAGAACAACAACTTAATCAGGTTCCTCATTCTCATTCCCATACTTGTTTCTATTATTCTATATTATATGAATATGATTAGTTCAAATCCTAATAATATTATTAAACCATCAGGGAGAATATGTGATTTTGATATCAAACCACCAAACAGAAGCAGATCCAGCTATCATCGCCTTACTGCTTGAAACAACAAATCCCCATATATCTGAAAGCATAGTAAGCTCACCTCACCCAAAATTCAAAAAAATATATATATATATATATATTATCTTTACTTAAAATAAAAATAAAAAACATTGTGATGCGTGAAAAAATATCTTCTGTAAGTGTAATCCTTGACACTTAAGAAACTATATATGTATACTTCCATACTTGTATTTCTTTTTTTAGTGACTTCTTTCTCTTTTGTATCAGGTAATGAGTGAAAAAAACTTGCAAGATGAAAACACGGAACCTGCACCTATGCTTATATCATTAGTGTTACAGAACTGCAGGGGACACGTGGACCATTGGGTTGAGTCATATCAGGTATATACAATCCTGCACCTATGCTTATATACCCTTTATGCAAGAGCTATTTGATTATCAATCAGTTTGTGGAATCAAGATCACAGCTCAAGTCTGGATTAGTTCCTGTATGTGTTGAAAAATCATCACAAAAATGTTTTTCTCATTAAACATGCTTGTCCGTGCAGTTCTATTGGATAAGAAACCTGATGAGGTTCCCATGGTAAGTGTAATTTGGTGCTTTACAAGTTTGTGTCACCACAACAACTGATCATGTTTGCTATGATACTATTCTGCTTGTGCAGCTTGTAGAATCTATGCTAAGTAAGGTCATGGAAGAGTTTGAGAATCACATCACTAGTCAAGTTGAACTAGTAAAGCTTCTTAGCTATGTTGTTTCCTAACTGACATGATTATTGTGTAGGATTTCCGTGTTGTTTTTTATCAAGAGTTGTGATTGATATTGAAGCTAAGAGACATGATGATTGGTTGGATACATGAAGGGTTTCAGAGTTTCTTTAGACAGCTTAATGATGAGTTATTGAAACAAGAAGGTGCCCCTTTATAGCAATGTAGTATTAGGTTATATAGTTAGGGAAAACCTCTTAATAACAATGTACAATCAGATCCCTTTAATATCAATGTATTGCAATTTTTTGACATCATGTTATTGGATGAAATTGATTGTTTTGGTATATATATTTTTCTATATTTTTGTATTATGCGTAAAAGAGTATCGTAAAGACATGTCGTATATGCATATTGTAAATGGTTGCTGAATTTTATGACATGCAAATGCGTGTTATATTCATTTATGACAGCGGCTATAATGATATGCAATGCGTGTCCTAAACGCGCGTCGTAAGGTTACGACACGCAAATGCCTGTCGTCTTCATTTATGACAGGGCCTTCCCTGATACGCATTATGTGCCGTAAATGAGCGTCATAAATGCGTGTCGTAACTGCCCGTCGTAAATGCGTGTCATCTCTCGTTATGACAGGGCCTTCCTTGACATTCATTTGCGCGTCGTCTGAGCGTTTTACGACACACATTGCGCGTCGTAAAAGGCTGTTTTTCTAGTAGTGATGGTTCTTAGTCGTGATGCACAACGAAAAACACAAAACTCTGGGGTTCTAGCGGTTGGTGAGAATGGAGAGAAATATTATGGCCAGTTAGAAGAGATTATGGAGGTGCAATATCCATATGATTATTCGACTGTAATATTTCGGTGCAAGTGGTTCGATACGGGAGATATTGTTGATGATAATTTCATCAGTATCGACACATAAAAAGAAGCGTATCAAGATGATCAACTCATATATGCTTCGCAAGCCAAACAAGTGTTCTACATCCGCGAGCCTGTTAATCATCGAAGAAACCAAAACAGCAACCCTCGTTGTGTCATCGAGCATGTTAATCATCGAAGTATTTGATC